TGGACCACTTCTCCAACTTCCCTATCAGAGACTTCACCGAGAAAAAAATACATATGTCACAATGGCCCAAAGTTGCACATGTATGAAAAAAAAAACCCCCACAATGGGCTCTTGTACTACTTAAGAAAAGAAATTAGTATTAGGAGATAGATAAAAAAAATGTTTCGCTAGATCTTATTGAATATCATCTCACAATCGACTTTAGCAACATCAAATTTAGCATCACATGTTCCTTTTTGGAGCCACTCTAACATGAACAAAAAAGAAATTGACATGGTTTGGATGTTGTTAGGTTGATTAACAACATTCAACATTGACTACCTCAAAAATGTAAAATATTTCAAAACAACATGAGATTGATAATAAGTTTTCATAATAGTATCACGAGTTAAAAAGTCATGTATATAAGATCAAATTCATATTATTTCATATATTCATTATTTTTATATTAAAATATCCTTAATTAGAGTATGTTCTTATATATATATATATATATATAAAAGATGTATTAATTATAAATTCTTTAAAGATCATGTACTCTAATTTGCTAGAAGAATAATGAATATTATTTAGAAAGATAAACAGAACAATACAAAATTTAGGTGCATGTATGGTTAGTGTTATTGCTATCTATTTAGAATTGAAGTTTTATGTTGGTAATATGCATTTACATTTAATGCAACATTGAATGTAAATGAATATTACAAAAGTAAAACTCTAATTTTAATTGGTGAACAACATTAACTGTATATTTAAGAAATTGTATTTTTTTCCAATAATATATGATATATAGTTTAATTGGTTATAAGAAATTTGAGTATTAATTAAGAAAGAAAAGTAGTATAAGAGTAATTTATATATATATATATATATATATATATATATATTTGCTATATAATAAATATTTAACGTGTACCATATACAAATATTTGTTTGAAATAAATTCAAGAGTTCAATGAACTCTAACACATATATATATATATATATATATATATATATATACCACAAATTTATTGTAATAAACTAATTAACTATTATTTCAAGAAAAAAATAGTGAATTAGATAATTGTTTCATGCATTTAGAAGTGAAAGTATATTTGTAATTATCAAGTATCAATTTTTTTATTTTTTTTTTAAGTTTCCTCCTCTGTCCGCCTTTTTTCAGTTCCACTGGTGTCTTTGGTTTCGAATAATTTTGTCCTTTTGTCTTCCTTATCTTAGATAATTTTGTCCTATTGCTCTAAAAGTTAAATTATCTTTGCTAAACAATGAGGTAATTAATTTAAAGAGCACAGTTGCGTCAACATTTACATGCAGGCTAACTTGGTGACCGGTGAGGTATTCCTAGTAATCATACGAAAGGTAACACTACACAATTGATTTGGTACGAAAGTATATACAAATAAAGTGAAATGATTTTCAATCAATCTATGAGTGTGAGCTTCTAATCTCTCAACAAAAAAGCTTGGGTTAGTTTCAAGCACATTTTAATTTTTCCCCTTTATCAATCAAGATTAAACTACAGTTATTATTATCTTATGATTTTCACCTTTCATCTTTTGACATACCCAACTATGCAAATAGCTAAAATCATGAAACCTCTCCAAGTTACCTTGTGAGCCACGTTTCTGCATACCCAGTATTTAAGGGGTTCAGTTTTTTTTGACAGCACAAATTTTATTCATTGAATTCCTCAAAAAACAAACCTTATAGTTCATTCCCTCTACACCCTTTTCCAACTTCCGTTACATATTTCATATGCCGAAAATTCTGTAACCCCCCCTCAAAAACCAAAGCCCCTTTTGTTTTTTCTTACAACAAACACATGATTACTTGATTCTTTAACGGGTTGGTTCCCTTGATCTTTATTATTATTATGATTATTATTTTATTTTCCACTTCGGTTCATGCACCTGTGTTTGAGATTGGTCGGTGTTATTTGTTAGTACATATATATTGAAATTGATGGGTTTGCTATTTTTTGTTTTTCACTTGCTTCTTTGATGAAACAGGGGGTTTTGGTGTGGGGTGGGATCAATGGAGAACGTTTCCAAACCAAAGAAGGAAAATCAGCAGTTTGAATTGCCACTCGGTTTTAGATTTCATCCAACAGATGAAGAACTCATAAATCACTACCTCACCAAGAAGGTTGTTGACAACTGTTTCTGTGCTTTGGCCATTGGTGAGGTTGATTTGAACAAGTGTGAGCCATGGGATTTGCCTGGTGAGTATATAATTTCTTGGATTTGTTGAATTGCATCCTTATGACTTATGTTATCTTGCTTTGATGGAAATGTGTTCTTCTTATAATCATGCTTGTTTTTTTTTTGAAGGGTTGGCTAAAATGGGTGAAACTGAGTGGTATTATTTCTGTGTGAGGGACAGAAAATACCCAACTGGTTTAAGGACTAATAGGGCCACTGATGCTGGTTATTGGAAGGCCACAGGAAAAGATAAGGAGATAATAATGCAAAATGCACTCATTGGGATGAAGAAAACCTTGGTTTTCTACAAGGGAAGAGCTCCCAAAGGTGAAAAGACAAACTGGATTATCCATGAATATAGGTTGGAAGGGAAACATAATCAACTCAAACCAGGAAAGGTATTCTCGAGTTTGTGTATTTCTTTTATGAGTTTTTTTTTACATAATTTTAGACATGATCTCGATCAATCTTTATGTGACACAAAATCGATTTCTATAAACTCTTTCTAGTAAATTGAAAAACTTAGTTATGTGTCTGAAGATTGGTTTAGACTATAAACATTTAGAGGTTTAAAGCTTACATGATGTGATAATTTCTTTTTATTTTTTACTTCAAGGTGAACTTTTGTTAACTGAGGTTGTTTTTGTTTTGACATTTTCCCCTCACTTTTTAGAGTGAATGGGTTATTTGTAGAGTCTTCGAGAAGAGTCATCGTGGAAAAAAAATGCATGTTCCAAAGTGTGGGAGATTCAAGTTGAACTCCTTTGGAGTGGAACCATCATCACATGCTTCTCAATTGCCTCCTTTGATGGATTCTTCTCCATACAACAGTGAAACAAGAGCCACTGCTGGTGAATTGTCTCAGTTGACCTGCTTCTCTGATCAGAACACTCATGATGACATTGTGGAAAGCATGGAAACTCCTATGTTGGACTTTTCACCCTCTTCAAGACCTGATGGTGATGTTTCCGCTTCAGCCAAAGCAACCCTTTCAGTCTCAAATCAATCAACACAGATTGCACACCAAATTGGAAACTCTCAGTGCCTAGATTATTGTTATGTGCCTCAAGAGCAGTCCATGTTGAGAATGCTGATGGAAAACCGTGGATCAAGTGCAATGCAATTTCAGAAAACTGAGTTTTCTGAGGGAAGAGACTTCGATGCTGATACATCTTTTGTGATATACAACAACAATGACATGATACACAATATGTTTGGTAATCAAGATCATTCATCAGCTTCTATTGGACCTGTGGACACCAATTGCCTATGGAATTACTGAAGGTTACAGAATATTATTTAGTGTAAGAAAGAAAATGTCAATTATATATTTATTAATACATGCAAGTCGATTACCTGCAACTGAATGAACTTAATATAGGAAGAATGGGAAATGCATGAAATTCAATTTCTCCCTTTTGGTTGGTAATTTTGAGAAAATTAGTGTTGAATAGTCCACATTTAATGTGACCTGAATTTTTAATTGTCATTCCAATCCAATTACATGTAGTTACCAACTTTAGACTTATTTGTGCAACTTTTGGGTGTAGTATTAATATACTGTCTGGTTTAGATAATGTGATCATAGCCCCTAAATAAAAGTTAATGTTACCTCGTTCCGTATTTATAAAATCTTTAAGAAAATTGATTTTGTTAAAAATATTAAATTTGCTCATAATTTAAACTACTTTTTTCAAATTCATCTTTAAAATCTCTTAAATTAACATTTTCTCTTTTTATTTAATTTTTTCTCACCTAATTAGTTAATATTTGGAAAATTCAACCTATATATCTTAAACAATAGCATTTTTAAGAGTTATTCTTGAATATGAGTATTTTTTAGAAATCTTCTTAACCTCTTATCTAATTTAAGTTTTTTATTTATCATATTTATTTATGAATTAGATTTTAATTTTAAAAATAAATTATCAATAATTAAAAATAAATTTTATACCACAATATAATTATTTATTTTAAATCTATAATATAATATATATGCTTAAAAATATTTATTTATAATTTTTTTAAATATAATTTATATATTCAAATAAATATTTATATATATATATGTATAATTTATTATATATTTTAGCTATATACAATAAATATTTAGTCTGTGAAATATACATGCTAAAATACTAGTAATAATGTAAAACTAGATGAGAAAAATGTCTATTTGTCTATTTATTTTTTCCAATCTTAATAAAAGAGGTAAAAAAAAATTTATGCAATTATTTTTAAGTATTTATTACTTTTTATATAAAAAATATCAATTAAATAATAATATTTTAAAAATATATAATTAATGCCACCGAAGAAAATCTTATAAAAATGAAGAAAAAAAGAGGTTTTATATATACCGATGAAGGTAAAATTTACTCTTTTGAAGTGTTAACTTTAGTTCTCAAAGTATGATTTTTTTTTCATTAATTATGGTCTTCAATCACCAAAATAGATTGATAGACTTTCAAGAATTCTTGATACCACCACTTCAAAGAACGTATATGACAACACAAGAAAAAAAAAAGGAGAAAAAAATAATGCATAGAATTTCTATCGTTTCTTGCTATTTTTTTAATACAAAAAAGTAGATAAAGAAAGGCTCTTAGCTCTTATTTTTTTAATGACATGAACAAACCCAAAAAATGAGAACTTATAATTATTTGAATATTATTATTCTTGTAATTTTATTGTAAAATTATCAATAATTTATTTATAATTAACATTCTTTAAAAATCATGAGTATTTTTGTTGTTGTAATAAAGTAAATTTTACTTTAAAAATAGAAACATCACTTAATAGTAAATAGTTGATTAATGACTGATAATTTTTTTATTCGATATAATAATTTTTTTATATAATTTTTATTTTACTATTTATGAAACAACAAAAAAAATAAATGAATAATTGGTGTTCCTCTAAAAATGGAGTCATGCCACTTAGTGTCGCATCCCCGGGATCAGGATAATTATCAAGCTTAATGAGTATATCTATAATTATAATCTGATAATTTTCACCATTTAATTTTTGTTTCTCATGAAAAAACTAGTTTAATTATATTGTTGTTACAAAGTTTTTATCCATGAGGAAAATCTTAAATCCTTAACATTTTGTTTTATAGTGGAGTGAATGAATAGTTAGTTGACTAGATAGGCTATCTAGGTTGGTGTCATAATTTTTGAATTGATTAAAAATATGGTATCAGTAAATTAACATCCCACGTGAAAAACGTGGTGAATAATAAAAAATAAAAAAGAAGAAAAATTCTCTTACTATTTCTCCCTTAATTAATCATAATTGGTAATACCCCTTAAAATAGTTTTAAAACTTGATGTAGATGGTTACAGGCAAACTCGACTCAAAAACAACTAAGATGAAATTTAAGAGTTGGTATAAGAGTGCTGTCTATATGTAATATAGATGCTTCACTAAAATGTATGCAATTTCAAGCATCATAAATGATATTTAACACTTGGAAAATGCAAGAGAAAAACAAATAAACAATACCTAAAATTAAAGATATATCGCAGTAAAAAAAATTTAAGTTATTAATATATTAGATACCTAATTTATAAAATATTAGTGGAGTGAGACATTTAGTGTTTTTATATTTAATTTTAAAAATTAAAAATTAAATAGAATTAAGATTATTAAATTATAAAGATAGTTAAATAATAAAAATAGTAGAGTGATTAATTATTAAAAGAGAATGATAATTATTAAAAAAATCTATTTTTTTAATAATAAAATGATATAATAATCTTCTAAATATGAAGATTAAAGGTGACTTTTAAAAAGAATATCTAGTATAGATATTAGTATTTTAGCATATGTATTGTATATGTGTATGTTTATTATATATAATTAAAATTTATAATAAATTATATATAAGTAAATGATATATTCTAATATATAAATTAATATTTTTATTTACTAAAAATTTATTTTAAAATGTTAACATTTAATTTATAAATAATTATGATAAATAAAAATCAAATTAGATAAGAAATTATGAAAATTTCTACAAATTTTCTCGCTGAAGAAAAATTTATAATCCCACAAGATAGTAATATGTAGGATGACAATGGGACTCGTGGGAACGGGTAGTAAGGTATTCGTACTTACCCCACCAATTAAAAAATCATCTCGTACCCATTTTATACTTGTGCATGTATCTATTAAGCGGGTACCCATAAATTTTATAAATACCTATCGATATTTATAGATATTCATGAATATTTGTGAATTTTTTTAAATAAAAAAATGTAAATAATTTTAAGCTTATTTTTTTATGTTAAGTATAGTGAAATATTAAAAATAAATAAATAATATTAATTTTTGAACTTGCAATTAATGATAATTTTTTTGAAATATTAAAAATAATATAAAAAATATAAGATAAAAATATAAATATTTAAGTAATATTATATAATGAGTATCTGCAATGGGTATGGATACTACTATACTCGTCTCCACCTTGTTTATAAATAGGTAAAAAAATATTTGCATATGTTGCTTGCTGATATCCATTTAGATTCTTCATTTATTATCTGTGACAAATTTTATGCATAAATACCTATGGATACATGTAATTTTGCCATCCTTAACAATATATGTTTGATATATAAGAGTTGATTTATCAATCATAAAAGTGGCATTTAAATAAACTCTTGAATTTAAATTTTCTACATAATAAAATATGATTAAAAAAAAGATTTCATTAAAGATGAATAACTAGATTTTTTTAAAAAAAAAAATAATCACAATCAAAGTTAATAAATACTATCAATAATGTTCGATATATAAATATTAGATAGTTAAGTTTTTAAACATATTATACACTTGATTTTTAACCATGAATATGGAAAACTTCATTAATATAGATAAGACTTATTTTATTGAACGAGGTAAACCACATTTAAGTAATTTTTATATCTAACAAAAAATTAGTCTTCAACTTTAATATTTATGAGATTTGATTTCTCTATGATTGCAATATTTTGACACTTTATATGATAACATTTTACAAGCTTTTCATTGGTTAGAACCTTTTTTAGATAATCCTTTATGATATGTTCTTCTATCTTTGAGATTAACAATTGACCCCACAAATTAACACAAAACTTTTCAGTATACTTTATCCCCACTCACACTTTTTAAGAAAAAAAACTCTTCCATCCTTAAATTATTCAAAGTCAATCATATTTCACTATGATAAAACTCTTAAGTGATGAGTATTAAAAAATAGATACATCTTATTTGTATATATAATATTAATTAATTTTTAAGTTATTATTATCTGTACAGTTTCATATTTATACAAATTCTTTTATTCTTTTCATTATGATATGTTCATGTTGTTACATCAACTATTAGTTAAAAATAAAAACAAATAATTTAAGACCTTCAACCTAATTATCTTTGCTAGTTAAGGTAGATCATGCATGGTTACGAATAATTTGTATTGTTTTCACAAGAAATCAACTTGACTTAACTACTAATGTGTCATTAGTTTATAAAGAGATTTAGCGTCTCACCGTGAGTTTGCAGCCACAAATCTCACAAGTCAGTAGTCACAATTAGTTATTCCAAACATTTCTACGTGTTAACATGTTTTTTTTAGTAGATTTCTCTAAAAGTACTTTTTAAAAGTGAAAAATATCAAGAAAAAGAAAATATTTTTTTATAAATTAAAATTAATTTATAAAAATTCTCTCCTAATAATTTTAATAAAATTTTTAAAATATTTAACTTATTTTAATTTATTGGTCTGACTGATGTTGCTGTTAGTCGATAAATTAGTCAAATCAAATCTTAAATTTGATTAAAAAAAACGGATAGAATTTCTACATTGATAAACCAATAGCCATAATTCATGGTATGTCCAAACATGTTGATTGATGCGTCTTCCATACAATCATTTTAGGCAAATGTTATTATATACACCTTCAATTTTTATAGATACACTGCTTTTACAATTTTTTCTATTTTTTTAAAATATCTTTTTAATTAATTAGTTTATTTTAAAATAATTTTTAAATTTTTAATATCTCCTTTCATTATTTATTTTCTTCCACAACTTTATCTCTCTAATCATTTTTTATATACCTTTTTTTATTTTTTATTTCTTATTTTTTTCTCTTCGACAATTAAAAAACTCAATGACTCATATTTTAAACTCTATTTTTTTCACTCTTAAATTTAACATTTTTCAGACCCCAAAATTTCACTCTAAAAATATTTAATATTGCATACATTGAATATAAGGTTGTCAATTTTATAAAAATGTTATTTCTAAAAATATAACTTGTTGATTTTAAGATGAATTATTGATTAAAAATAACACATCTTTTTATTACTCTTATGAAATTGTTTTTTTTAATTCTTAAAATATATTTTCTAAAAGTACTTTTAAAAAAAAATAAAAATATTTCTCTCTCAAATTTTTTTAGAAGTATAGTTTTACTCTTGTGGTTCAGGTGTTAAAACACACTTCTAGAAAATATTTTTTTAAAAAAAATATACTTTTAAAAAGATACTTTTTGGAAGAAAAAAAAATA